TGTCAGCAGGCTGCATGTTACTATGCGTCGTCGATCTGTTCAGACCAGGGCTAAGCTCCGCAGAAAACGCCCAGGGGCGGACAGAGGAGCATGCGTGGGATGAGAGGACAGAGGAAAACGAAGATGCGATATGAGCACAGCTTCCTGACCGCAAGACCTTGCCGTGGCGAGTTGAGACATGTTGAGATAAGTGCAACTCAAAATCGATCACCAGAACCAACCTGGGGTCCAAACGCATTAATCCCACCAGCCCTTTGGGCGTGAGTGGTTTAGGGAGTCCTCTCTGTTCTCAACCCCCCTTCTTCCCCTTCGGGGAGGGGTTTACCCCTCCCCCTACCCCCTCCCCCTGGACCTGGAGAGGGGGTTTCGCGGATGGTTGGAGGGGTCTTTTTCGACTCCTGCGAGGGCTAAATAAAAAACGACACCCCTCACGAGGATTCTGGCCCCGACGGGGGGGGGGCAGAAAAAAACCCTCTCCTCTTCTTTGAAGCTAAAATCATTGATTTTACTACGGTTTTGGCCCCATTTTGCCCTTCTGAGGGGGCAGCGCTCGTTAAAGCTCTCCTCTTCTTTCAAGGCAACACCATTCATTTTACAAAGGTTTTGGCTTCATTTTGCCCTTCTGAGGGGGCAGCGCTCATTAAAGCTCCCCTCTTCTTTGATCGCTTCCCTCCCAGATGGCCCCAAGAAGCGCCCAGGAAGCACCAAGAGGCTCCAAGATGGCCTCAAGAGGCCCCCAGGAGGCCCCCAAGAGGATCCCAAACGGCCCAAAGAGGCCCCCCCGAGGCACCCAAGACGCCGAAAAGCCCATCAGGACGACCCTCTACTCGCCTGGGCGTCGTTTCTGGACGGGCAGGAGGAGGGGCCCGAACGACTCACACCAGGACGAGGGGCCCGAACAACTCACACCACGAGAAGCCCGAACGACTCACACCAGGACGAAGAGCCCGAACGACTCACACCACGAAGAGCCCGAATGACTCACACCAGGAAGAAGGGCCCGAACGACTCACACCAGGACGAGAAGCCCGAACGACTCAAACCACGAGGAACGCTTTCTCTCCCTCCTCCTCCGCCTCGTCCTTCTCCCGCTCCCACCACAAGGAGGATGTACAAGGAGGCGGGAGGAAGGAGGAACAGGGGAGATATGCGGGGGCAGGCGGAAACACGCCTGAAAAAAACACGACTGTCGGCATGCTTCGCTAGAGTTGCTGTTTTGAGATGGGCTGGTGGGGATACGCGAAGCGTGAAGAATTTTCCGAGCTGCGTCTAGCCGCGGTGACGCGGCTCCCCCCGCAGAGGCTCACTACCTCTGAGGCAGCTTTTCTTTAGATTCTGTCGAGTTTATTTGCATGAATGAGAGGGAGGGGAGGGACGTGGTGACGCCCGAAAGGGAATCCTTACTTCATGCAAGTCGGACCTCACTTACACGCCTGTTCGGCCCAGTGCTCTTAGAAAAGGCGGCGGAGGGGGGGGGGAAATGCCATGCACATAACCTTGCCTGGGCTCAGCGTCCTTCCCCACGGAATATGCCGAGGGGAAGCTGTACGGACGGTGTGGCATGCTATTTCAGAAAAGGGGTCCGACATGACATCTCGATTCCCCAACATGCTGCACTGGCGGTGGACGCCGCAAGGGGAATACTTCTTTTCCCAACCTGGTTTGGGTCCCGCTCTTGTTGGGGACCCAATCTTTCTCAATCTTGTTGGGAAGCCCGCGCAGAGCGTACCCATGCTCCAACACCTTGGGGGGGGGGTCTCCAAGACCTGGCGGGGCTCTGAGCGCTGCCCTGAGCGCTGCCAGTGCTGGTTTTTGCGCCTCGGGCTCTGCAGTCCTGGCCCTCCCCAAGGGGGCGGCCGCAGACCGCGCCGCGAAGCGCGACGCGACGCCTCCTCGATTCCAGATGGGGTCCGATTAGATGGGGTCGGAGGATCGCGCTACATCGCCGATACATCGGCGATGCATCGTCGATGCGTTGGCGATGCACCAGCGACGTCGGCGGTGCATCGGCGCCGTCGGCGTGGAAGAAATCGAGCTCCGCATCGGGCCGCATCGAGGATGCATCGGCGATGCGACGCGATCCTTCGACCCCATCGACTCTGACGCCATCTGGGAGGCCTGGGGTCGACCCCCAAAGGTCTCGACCCCTTGCCTGGGACCGGTTTTTCATCCCGAGTCGTTTTCTGACGCTCCCGAGGCCGGGCACGGGCCCCGAAGGGCCGAACATTGCGAACAACCTCCCGTCGTGTTTTGTTTCACAGCGCGAGGGGGTCGGACCCCATCTGGGAGGCCTGGGCCACATGGGGGCGGCCCCCGACGGCGCTGCGGTGCACGACGCGACGCCTCCCGCCCGCCCCGCCGATCCGCTCCCGTGCGACCCGAGCGCCCGCCGCCCCCACTGCTGCCCCGCCGAAGGGCGGGGCGGAGCCCCGCCGCCGTCGTGCGCGCCCCCCCCCCCCCCCAGGACGAGGAGGAGGAAGAGGAGGAGGAGGAGGAGGAG